TCTGATGCTGGGAGTCATGACAACTACTATGACAGACGACTTCGGACTCGGTGCGTTCTACATAGTCGCCATGACAACAAGACCAAGTTGCGACAATGAGGTCAACCCGCTTTTACAGGTCGTTCTTTTAATTAATAGCCATGTAGAAATAGGGCTCAGGAATAAGAGAGTGACAAAGATCATAATGAAACTGGATGATGAGGACCAAATGCTGTTGAGGGCAGACAAAGGAGAGGCAGTGATTTTTATGGATAGGTTAAGCTATGTAGAAAAAATGATGCAGGCTTTGGATGAAACTACCACATAGAAATTACTCAGTAGGGACCCTAGGGAAAACTCTTACGTCTAGACTCAGGGGTTGCCTACAGCACTGTGTAACAAACGGGAAACTGAATAAGTGGAAAATGAACATGCTTCTTGAATGAGATGCTAGGCCTCCGAATGCATAACGTCTGCCACTTAGAATTATTGTGAATAATAAGGGAAGTGTGATGCATAAAACATCACGATTTATTTGTAACCAGTTAAAAGAAATCTCCCAGACGTGGAAGGTTTCATTCGAGAATTCCTATGAATTCGTTAATTTAGTCGACGAGCAGGAGATAGAAAATGTGGATTTGCTGGCAAGTTTTGACGTTGAGTTTATGTTTTATTAATTATACGGACTAAACTAGCGATGCACTGTACAACAATGTACGAACAAACATGTGGTTTAGCTATGAGATCGTGTTTGTTGCAAATTTTACCAAATAATTACGTGTCTAAATTTGAGGAACGCCTAATTCGGAAGGCACTTTTTGTCCATAAGTTATTATTAGTTCGCTATATAGACAAGTACTTTGTTATTTGGCAGCAACAACCTCGAGAATTTTCTTGCTTTGATGAACAGGATCGATCGGAAGACGAAATTCACCGTCGAGTTAGAAAAGGAAGGTGGTCTACTTTTTCTTGATGTTGTAGTTGGCATAGAGAGGATCAGATTAGGTCGAGATGTGTATAGGAAACCCACAAATGCAGGTTTACTTTTGCATTTCTTTTTCAACCATAATTATGTGGTTAAAGTTGGCGTTATGCTGTCTATGCTAATAAAGAGCCTGCGTCTGGCAGATGCCAAGCCTCGGGACCAGGAATTGAGGAGACTAAGGACAATTCTGGTTGAGAATAATTATCCACGAGGACTGGTTGACAATTATTTTAGAATATTGTCAAATGGGATGGAGGTAAATACATATTTGGAGCCCGATAAAAGTTTAAACAGAGTCCTTTATTGCCATCGTGTAATCTGTCGAAGAAGATAGGCGAATTATTGAGCAGGTGGGACATCACGTCTATTTGTAAAAAGAACATAATTCTCCTCAGTAGTGCCTTCTTTTAGACAATACACTGACCATCTCTTCAGCTCGGGCTGTTACTAGATTTTGTGTTCATGCGGTAACGCCTATAGGTCCATACATAAGAGGTTATCTGAGCAAAACAGCCGAAAAATGGTCTGTGGGTCCAAAAATCGGTATCGGCCGAGCAAATGGCTCGCACGGTATGACGCTGTGAGTTATGATTCATTATGGCTAAGGACTTCTACTAAGTCGCCCTGACATCAAGACCAAGTTGTGAAAATGAGGTCAACCCACCTCTATACATCGAAAGGAGATTGCAACCACACCGTGAGCCATACCATCTTGATTTTCATATTTTCGATTAAGCCACACGTTTAGTTCTGTATCGGGACTATACCAGTTTTGCGCTTCATCTACATCCACCTGACATGTCATCCACAGCCACTCAACTTTTCAAAACTTTTAGACAAAACTCGGGATAATTACTCAAAGCATGAGATGCTTTAAGAAGTAGGTAGGTTTGAAGCCGGCCACCTTTCTTGTCTTTTTGTCTTTGTCGTTAAGTCTGTTGTCTTGCTCTGACGATGTCCATCAGATGACGGTAGAAAGCTTAGCAGGGATTGATCGGAGGCGTAGGGCGGTGCGCCGAGGATGTATTAATGCAATTATATAATCACAGCTCCAAGGTGATCCCCCTACAACTTCCGGTGAGGCCAACTTACGATTCCCTTTCACTCGCCTATTCAAACGAAATGAAAGGTACTCCAACATCAAACTGTCAATGTTGGCTTTTGTGCAAGGTAACTTTATAGATACGAAGAGAAACTGGGTTTCGATTAATGTCCTGAGATAACATTGTTGGAGGGACTTTTGTTTCGTATGAAAGTGCATGTAGAAGAGATTCGTAGGTCGAGCACACCAGAAGAGAACGGATGAATCGCTTTGTACTGCAGTCGTTTGGCTTTTATACGACGTTCATGTCGACGCACTTCACGATACATACTCCTTCGTGCATCATTCGATGGACATCAGCAGAGGCGTCTCATTCCTCTAAAAGTCTCAAGTTAGCAACACGGCAAGAAGACTATCCGGCTCTATCTTACCTCTTGTATAGACTCAATTAAACAAAGATTTTTGGCCATATAATACTGCCAAAGAAAGATTGTCATATTGGTAGGGTTTTTAAATATCTCTGTAGCAGTAATATAATCGTAGTGAAAGCCAACAAAGGTCAAGTTATGTACAGAAAATGCTAGTTCGTTTAAATTATATCAACGGGCCAATGCCTTTGGTGAGAGATCTAACAGAAAGACTTAGGACTAGACTAAAGGATGCCCTAAAGTTATGCGTAAGTGATGGTGGAATGGAGAAGTGGAAAATGAATTCTCTACTCCAGAGAGATGCAAGGGCCCCCACGACTTACGGTCTCCCTAAGGTTCACAAAAAGTGTGTCCCTTTAAGATTAATTGTAAGTGATGAAGGAAGCGTGATGCATAAAATCTCATGTTTCTTATGTCAATTTTTTGTTATACATACAGTTAAAAATTCGTATAATTTGGGAAATTGAACGATCAACATTCACTTTCAGAAGAGGATAGTCTATTAAGTTTTT